CTAGTTCCGCCCCTGGAAGTAGGAGAAATAAAATTTACATTAAAAAATTCTTTTGACAATGACAGGCCATGAGACAAGCAATCAAATGTTATGTAACAATTCAAATCAGACATATGAAGTTAAGAATTTCAAAAAAAAAAAATTTATACCTCCATGAGTTCCCGAGGTGGATTTGAGGAAAATTGCCTGTATCCAAATGGTGTCGTAAACATTCTAACTCAGCTTTTCAAGCTCTGTATCAAGTCCACCCATCCCCTCTGACTCTAAATAATCATCTTCCATTGGCACGTCATCATCACTATTCAAAGACTGATTAAACAACAAAACTTCATTATACACAATCCATACTAAAGATTTGCTAGACAGATTTTCTAAACAAAAGTTTTTATAACTACAAAGATATTTCTACAAATCATTAAAATAACTTAATCACCATATTAACTCTATGATTACCCTTACATCCCCTTTTCTGGAATTCTCTATCACATCAAAAAAAGTGTGTTCCCTTGCATAAATATCATACCAAAATTCATATTAGATGCTTCCCATTTCTTGACAAATAAAATCCCACCCAGAAAATAAAAATTTTCTCTGGTTCAAAGTTTACCTGAGGGAATATCTGGAGAGCCTTTAAAGCCACACCAATTCTTGATGGCATGAGAACTCCAATGCATGATGGCATAAGAACGCCAATGCATGATGGGATGAGAACCCCAATGCATAGCTGGGGCTTGGAATCCTTTTGCATCAATGAGTGCTGCAAGGCTTGGATTAAAAACAAAGAACAAAATTATTTTATATTGCTTTTGAGTTGCTAAATAATGTAGCAGCAGGATAAGATTCAATTCTCTGTTTTTCTGTCCTTTAAGTAAGTTAATTCCTCTTGTTGGTTCTATTTTCAGGGACACATTTAGTTCTGCTTCACAGTTAGACAGAGTAGCTAGTGAAAATGTCTTCCAAGGCCACCAATTATAATAAATGGTGTTTTAAAGTAACATGGAGTAAATAAATACATGTGAAGCTGAGCATTTAAAAATTATATATCCGATGATATGGAATCTAAAACAATTGAAAATATGGAATCTAAAACAATTGAAAAGATACCTAAATGATATACATGGAACCCTTCAAACCTGTTAAAAAAATAGAGAAACAAATCATTACTATAATCAATAATTATACTCAAACAAAATCCATAAGTAGCCTTAAATTAAGAAACAAAATTCAGCAAGAGAGATAAATATATAGTATAAAGACACCAATTATAAGTAAAGTGACTCACCAAAATGGCACCTTGATGCAGTAGCCATGTTACATTCCTGAAAAATTAAGCAGACAGAATCAAGAACAATATAAGTCTTTTTTTTAGCACCAAAAAGAGAACTTCATTCCATTCAAATATCCGGATTACACATGTGTGGAGGTTGTCCACACCAAGCAATATAAGCTCCAACTTCGCAATCTATCTTTGCCAAGTTATGATCAAACATATTTACATTCCAATGTACATGAGCAAAAGTACAAAAATTAAAAGAAACACTTAACAGTTTGATTTGCTCAATCAAAGTTCCCCCTTCCCAAAGAACAGGGGTCATACTATTGATCTCCTTGATTGCCAAAAGTGAGTAACACTGTAAATCACAAGATTGTAGATCAAAAGATCGAGCAAGAATCAAACCGAACCTTACGACATAAAACTTCTGCAAATAAAGGGTCTGGAACATTCATAATTCTTGCTGCTACAACCCTAAACCCTTGCCTATCTCTTATCACCGCCCCCAACCCAGCTTCCCCTTTCTCCGAATTGAAAGAGGCATCAGTATTGATTCGATATTGCGCAACCGTCGGGGGTAGCCATCGTTGAGGCCTCATCACCTGTCGAGTCGCATGTCCTTGCTGCCGAACCGCCTCAAAATCATACACTATCCTTGCTGCTACAAGACAAAGAGAGTTTGGAGCCTTGCACACGTACTCATGTAAGGATTTATACCTGTTAAACCAAATCAGCCATTAAATTGTTGCCACCAATTCCAAAGACCCTACTTGAGCCGCTTTCTCCATTAAAGACCCCCAAAAATCTTCACCCGCTATCCACCCTTGCAAATACTCCATTAGCCATGGGCGAGATATCTCCCAAACTTTAACAGCAAAAGGACAATGGAAAAAAATGTGCAGCAATGAAGTGTCGGTGTTAGAGCAAGAACAAACATCATCTACAGGTACTCCACGCTGCTGCAGATTATACTTTGTAGGCAAAATATTATGCCATAGCCTCCATAAAAAATACTTTACTTTTGGCTGCATAGAAGCTCCCCAAACCCGACGCCAAAATACATTCCTATTCTCAACATCAGGAAGCGATTTAGATAGCACTAATCTAGCAATATGGTATCCTGATTTTACTGTATAGAGTCCATCACTATTACCATGCCAAATAAGAGTATCATTAGAAGGCAAAATAGACAAAGGAATGCAAAGAATATGCCTTACATCCGCAGCTTCAAATAACTCATTCAGGAGATCACCATCCCATTGACCATTAAAAATCAATGAGCTAACCTTAGTCGGGTGACACACAATGTCAGGTCGTGGTTGGGGTTGAAACATAGGCGATTTATTCAGCCACTTCTCAGACCAAACATCAATCGAAGACCCATCACCGACTCTCCATCGAGGGCCTACCTTAATAACCTCCCTTCCTGCTAGTAAGCTCCTTCAAATAAAAGATGGATTGCCCCCCAAAGAAGCTGTCATAAACGTTTTTCTACTAAAATATTTAGCCTTTAAAACTCGAGAACAAAGAGAGTTTTCATCATGTATAATTCTCCAGCACTGATTAGCCAATAGAGCTAAGTTAAACGCTTCAAAATCACGAAAACCTAATCCACCATCAAGTTTTGAGATACTTAAATCATCCCAACTTTTCCAATGAATCTTCCTTGTAGTCTCATTTCCTCCCCACCAAAATCTAGCTATCATCCGATTCAAATCTTGTATGAAAGTCTTTGGAACCGGAAGCAGTTCATCAAATAGGTGGGAATGGCTTGTGCAACGGCCTAAATTAACACTGCTCTACCTGCGATAGATAACAATTTGCCATTCCAACTCCTGATTCGTTTCCAAAGCCTGTCTTTTATTGCTTCCAATTCTGCTCTCTTTGATTTGTCAATCATGATTGGCATACGGAGATATTTGTCCTTTGCTAGGATCTTCTGCACCCCTAGCTTTTGCATGATACCATTTCGAGATAACTCAGGCACATTCTTACTAAACAATACAACTGATTTATCCACATTAATCATCTGCCCCAAAGCCACCTCAAACGCTTTCAAAATAGAATCGCATTCTGCTAGAGTAGCTCACAAAAATAATAAACAATCATCCGCAAAGAATAAGTGAGATATTCGTGGTGTATTCCTGGCTACTGCTACTCCTCCTATCAAACCCAATTCCTCCTCATTGTTCAATAAACAAGACAGACCTTCTATGCAGAGAAGGAATAGATATGGAGATAACGGATCCCCCTGTCGGATCCCTCTAGTTGGCCTGATAGTCTCTGTTTGCGCCCCATTTATCAAAAACGAATAAGAGACCGATTGAACACAAGCCAAAACTAAAGAAATCCACCTCTCCGAGAACCCGATTTGCCTCATAACAGCCTCTAAAAACGTCCATTCTACCCTGTCATATGCCTTGCTCAAATCCAGCTTGACAGCCATATATCCATCAGTCCCATTGCGTTTATTCTTCAAATAATGTACCGTCTCAAAAGCAACCATAGCACTATCATATATCATTTTGCCAGGAACAAAAGCACTTTGAGCTGGTCCAATAATCTGTGGCAAAAACTCCTTCAATCGATTTGCTTAAGCCTTTGAAATGATTTTAAAAATCACATTACAAAGGCTTATAGGTCTAAAATCTGTAACCATTGAAGGATTATCAACTTTCGGGATTAACACTACGTGAGTGTGATTTATATCCATAAGTGGAGCTCCCAAATTAAGAAAAGAGAGAGCCATATCACAAACCTTGTCCCCAACTATATGCCAGAAACGCTGAAAGAAAATAGGTGACATACCATCCGAACCCGAAGCTTTATCAGGGTCCATATCAAAAGTTGCTCCCTTATTTCTTCCTTTGTGAACTGTCTATCCAATAAAGTGCTCATATCAGAGGATATTCACCTATCCACAAACCCAGCAACCGCATGAACTCGATCCATGTCTGGAGAGGAACTAATAAAGATGCCATCAAAATAATCCAAAATCAGCTTGTCAGCCGATCCTCGATTGCTCTGCCATGCTCCGTCCTCGTCACGAATTGCCACAATAAAATTTCGCCGCTTTCTAGTCGAAGCAATGGAGTGGAAAAATCTTGAATTACAATCACCATCCTTCAACGACGACACTCTAGATCGCTGGCGCCACATAATCTCCTCCTGGTCATATAGAACATTTAACTCATCTAAACGCTCTTGAATAGCTTGATTACCTTCCTGCTGCTCCACCTCCATATAAAGTTCCTCAAGCTCATTCTGCTTAACTCGAATTCTAGATCTTACATTGCCAAAAATAGTTCTGTCCCAAACCTGCAAAGCTTTACCACATGTTGCAATGGCATGTTGAACGTCTATATTTGGGTCTAGATTCCAATTCTCTTTAATCACATCCTCCAAACCCTCATGCTTAAGCTACATATTTTCAAAACGAAACCTTTTTTTCGGAGTACAATCCATTGGAATCATATCAAGCACGTTGATGAGAATAGGCAAATGATCTGATTTTGCGTTTACAAGAACCTAGGCATAAGAAAACATAAATCGATCCAACCAATGATTAGTAATAAAAACTCGGTCCAATTTCTCAAAAATTAACTCATCTGCGAAAGGCTTAGACCAAGTAAATACAGGTCCTTTAGTTGTCAATTCATGAAAATGACATTCATCCACAGCTTCTCTAAACCCTTCCATTTGGCGTTGTGGCCTTATATTGCCACCAATTTTTTCATCATTTGATAGTAATTCGTTAAAATCGCCTGAGCAAAGCCAAGAAGTTGGGTTTGAGAGGCAAGCAATTTTAATAAATCCCAAGATTTATGCCGATGGATGACCTCAGGTCGGCCATAAAAACCTGTAAATCACCAACTTATCCGAATTGGTACCACCCACATGAACATCAATATGCAAAGTAGAATACGACACAACAGAAACCAAAATTTCATTATTCCAAAGCATAGCCAAACCACCTGCTCTACCACTACTACTAACACTAAAACAATTATCATCACCTACTTGACATCGAATCTACTCCATCTCAGCAACAAAGCGTTTAGTCTTAGAAAGAAAAACTATACTAGGATTTTTATTACATCTGATTAACCTACGAAGAGCAAACACTGCACGAGGCTCACCAAGACCCCGACAGTTCCAGACTAAAAGATTCATTGCTCTTGGCGGGGATGGGTATCATCCATCCCGGCCGTTGGAGTTTCATGACCAGCTGCCTGATCATCCAGATTCCCACCATTAGTCGCCGCACCAGGTTCCACATCAGCTCCATTGTTGCGATAAATGGAAGGGCCAAAGTCATCAGATTCTTGATTTCCCAGCAAACCCTCTCTGTCCTTGGAGCGTTTATTAGCTCCAGTGTTGAGAAATTCATAATTAGGAATCCTTGATCCCCTCTTCTGCCCGATCCTAAAATTTGTGTCTGGTCCCATAACATCAAAAGAGTAATGGTGAGACACCCTAGCAGTTTTTTTCCACTTCCGTTGCCTCCTCCCTTGCTGTGGTGAAGTTGCGCCAAAAACAAAGTGTGCAGCTGGAGAAGAAGACTCTGCTGCGAGTGGAATAAAATCTTCATTGAATAAAATCTTCCTAAAATTTGTCTGGTCCCATAACATCAAAAGAGTAATGGTGAGACACCCTAGCAGTTTTTTTCCACTTCCGTTGCCTCCTCCCTTGCTGTGGTGAAGTTGCGCCAAAAACAAAGTGTGCAGCTGGAGAAGAAGACTGCTGCGAGTGGAATAAAATCTTCATTTTGTCGATGAGCATGGGCCTGCTGCAAATTTGCAAGACCTGTTGGGCCAGGATTTATATCCACTGGAACAGGACCATTAGTCGTAGGCCCAATACTAGGAATGGACTGGCCCAAACCCGAAACCGTTTTACCCAACAGAACAGCTCGAAAATCCTCTTCTTGAAAATTAGGGGAGTAGTCAGCCGATTCCTCAAACTGCTGCGAAAATGCTGCTACTAATTCCTTCTGCTTTCCACGCCATTTCTGATGGGTCGTTCGTGAATCTGCCAAGCGCTTAGTGGCTCTATTTTCCGGTGCCACAAAATTCGGGGGAGACGCAACAACTCCCTGTTTTCCAGGGGGAAATATGCGCCACATTACCCATCCCTCCCTTGTTTAACACTAATGGTGAACCGCCAATCTTGGAGATGATCTCACAGGAAACTTCCCCACCGTCTTCCCCACGCGCCGCCCTTCTCCCTCGGAGAAGCATATTGTCAATGTGATTGCGAAATGCCCTCGCTCGACCCAAGCCCGAGGCTGTGGATGTTTGTTGCTGCCGAGAAACACCCTTACCAGCCATTGATGCCGAGAAACCCACCTGAGACCGAGGGACAGAACCCATCTGTCGAGGCTTCGCATCTGGAATCTCAGCCCTTAAACTATCATTGAAATGTTTCTCAATACAGCCTTGAGTTTTGAACATTATTACTCCCACCGGGCAATCTGTATCCAAATGCACCAAACGGCCACAGACCCTGCAAAAAGCAGGCAACTTCTCATACTTAAACCGAACCGTTAGCTCACCTTATGAAGTGGAAATCGTTGTTGTTTTCTTTACAGGCATTTGAAGATTAAGAATCACTCGAACCCTCAGGTATCTCCCGCAGGCGTCATCCACTTCTAAAATTGGCCCCATTACCTCATCCACTGACACCCCGATCTTTGTGTTCATCATTAGGATAGGCAGATAAAAAATTCGCATCCAGTATTGACACCGATCGAATTCGATCTCCTCCGGGTCTTGAAAACCATCAAAATTTTTGAGAACCAGCAAGGCCCATTAAAACACCATGGCCGAGTCACTAGAATCCGATCCCGCTCCACTTCATCTTCAAATTGAAAAGTAAATAGATTGTCCCCTGCCTCCTTGACCATGAAAGCTCCTTCCAACCTCCAAGCCAGCAACATTGCCGTTCTGAGTCCATCTACATTCGCCTTTCTCTTGGAGAACAGCCTTCCTATTAAATGAAACCATGCTAACCCCCCTTCATTACCACCCAGCCAGTCCTGATCTTTCACAACCACGGTGTCTCCTCCATCACCTTGTAGCGAGAGCTTAGAGCACATATTAGATAAAGCCCCCTCCATTTGAATAATGAGATCTTTCGACAGAAGAAGAATAAGGATTGGAAGAAGAAAACCAAAATAGAATGCAGCCCACCATATCCAACTATTCAGTATTTGTACTGGAATAAGAAATTTCCAGTTGAACATAATCCATCTAGAAGTGAATTTAAAAATGAAAAAGTTGTTGCTAAAATCCTTATCCAAATCAGGAGAGGAATCCAAAATTTGAAAAAAGTAATCCTTAGGATTTAAATCCAAGGAGGACAACTTGCATCTGGACAAGAGAAAATCCCTACCAGAAAGATCCCGGAGAGAGGAACCGATTACTATCGAGAGAGACAGAATAGAATTTAAAATTTTCTGAACAATATAAGTCTTTTGTCCAAACAAATTTGAAAATATCCATAAAAATGCAAATTGCATTAAGTTAAAATGATGAATATGCTCTTATCACTGAATTAGACAAAGAACCTCCACAACAATAGCTGGAGGATTAGATTCAAAGAACCTCCAATTCCTTTCAAATATACTCAGATATATATCTCAGTACAAAATTTAAAAGCAATTGCCATGGAAATAATTTATAATCTTAAAATCAATTCAAAAAATTTTAAGCTTTAATATTAATAAGATATTTTTAATCAATCACTGAATTATAAACACCCAATGGAATCAGATTTAATGAGAGAAATACATACTTGATTGAGAATTCAAAGAACTCCTGCAAGATGAAGAAGAATAACTATATATATTTATATTAAAAAGGTGTTAAATTTATGCAAACGAATGAAAAACAAATTCAGAGCAATTTTGGACTTACTCTTAGATCAGGAATATTTTATTACATTGAAAAGCTAGCATTAACTTAATAGCAGTTGGCATTCATCTTGCACAACTTCCTTCTAGTTTTTATGAGAACTCAATTTACATAAACATACAATGGTTTACAGCTAGTGTAAAGTAAGACAAATAAAAAATAGGTGAAAATTAACAATCATATGTTGTATTTATCAAAGGTAGAAATTGAAGGCAACACTTACAATTGATCACCTTGTATTGTCTGGCATAGGTTGGGTCTTGCAAGCAACATCTCGCAAATTAACAGAACAAAGCACAACAGAGCAACATAAATGAGCATGCATTAAGTCTACTCCTAAAGAAAGAAGGCAGAAAAACAATGTACCAAAGAGAAATTTTGATGCGAAAGGAATGAAATTCCACAGCAACATGAAGAAAGCCAAGTCACTGATATAGAAAAACATGAAGACACGATTAATTTAAGTGATCAATAGAGAGTTATCAATTAGATTAATCTAATTTCTTCAACAGCAAAAAACAAAGAAGAAGCAGTATCTGTATATATTACCTTTCAATAGTAAATCCTTGGATATGGCTAAATCTTGATGTTGAGTGTGAACTGCAAAGGCATATGACTTTCTAAACAACAATGGCCTGCAGATAAGCCAGAAAAGTACAAAAAAGAACCATAATTCCAATTATCATTCTCTGATCAAACACCCAAAATAGGAAAACATTAACAGAAAGAAATCGACTATGTTTTATGCTTCTTAACTTAACGAAAGAACAACTGACTGGAGATACGGAACTATCCTTTGAGAAACGAAACAGGAACAAATCACAAAAAACTCAAAACCAAAACGAACAGGGTAATCACAAAAACATAAAACTATAATGCACATCATAAGATTCCAAAACATATGTATAAACAAAAGCAAGGAAAAAATTGATTAAAAAGGAAGATGAAAAAGAATTCGGCAAGATGAGTAACAAAGAAAAATAATTAAATGACAATCAAAAGACAAAAAGGAAAATTGCCACTGAATAATCATGGAAGAATTACCTGAAAGAAATATAAGCACTGTCAAGAGAAGATCACTGAGATTAAAAAAAAAAATCATGGACAAAAATCGAAGTAAAGGAAAAATAAACGGAAATATGCAAAGATAACATGAAAAAGCAAAATTAAAGCATGAATGGATTAAAATAAAGATGATTACCCTTAAATGCAGAAGAGAGAGGGTAGAATAATAACCTGCAAATATGAAAAATGAAACGTGAAGAAGAGGACATCAGAAAGAAGAAAAACAGAGATGAGAGAATGAAGCGGTGATGAGAATAAAAAATGAAAAATAAAAGGAACAAAAAGCAGAAGGGTTACACGTTATAATCCCTTTGAAACCTGTCCTTTTTGCCCCTTACATCTGTCTTTTGCCCTTAACACGTGTTTTGTCCACTAAATAGACCCAAAACACAAAATCAATTGTAGTGGTGTCATGATCCCTTCAAGGTAAATTGATGCCATAATCCCTATATATTTTTTTTAATTCATTTCAATTTCGTCCTCTCATCTCAATTTTTGAATTCTTATTTCCTTTTTAAATCAAATTTGGTTCATGATTCATGAAATAAAGTCAATAATTCATGATTAATTAGAGCAAAATTAAACATGATTGATAATAAAAACGAATTAAAGAAATCATAATTTTTTTCTAATTAAAACTAATAAACCAATAATTCATTAATTAGAACAAAATTAAACATGATTGATCAAAACAAAATAAGAAAATATTTGTTGGTACAAATTAAATTTCATGTCTAAAGAACAAAATCAATACCCAAAACATATTTGATAAATTATCCAAATAAGAAAATGTTTGTTGGTACAAATTAAATTTCATGTCCAAAGAACAAAATCAATACCCAAATCATATAAACTAATTCATAGACTTGAAACATAACAATTTGTTTTTGAATCATCAATGAAATCAAATTCAGCTTTCAGCCCTTAATGAAAGTGGTAGATCACGGTAAAAGTACAAAATTGGTCCCTGAAGTGGAGCGACCATAGCATTTTGGTCCCCTAAGTGAAAAAATATGTAATTTGGTCCCTCAAGTGGAGATAACCGAGCAATTAAGTCTTTTCTTTAGTGTCTGTCCAACACTCCGTTAAATCGTCTGATGTGGCAGTGATGCCGTCAACTATGCTGACGTGTCATCTGCCATGTCATTTTTTAGAATAAAAAATTCAAAAAATCGAAAATAAAAAGAAAAGAGAAAATCATTAAATTTAATAAAAAAAATTTAAAAATCCCGAAATTAAACCAAAACCAGTAAATTTTTAAACTTTGAGATGAACATGTCGCCAAAGACTGGAAATTTGAAAGGCTGATTCAGAGAAGCAAAAGGATGAGAAAGTTAAATCATCCCAAACATTTTTAACTTTCTAGAAAATGGGTTGTTTTTTGGAGTCTTAAAACAAAAGCCTAAGCCATCAAAATTTGCAGGAAAACCATAACTATAAGAGAGTCAACGAATAGAAAAGTGCTAGTGGAAACCTTAGAAACTACAAAAACCCAATCCTATCTTAAAAGTTAAAACGTGCTAATAGCAGATGTCAACCTAAACTCAGCAGAGAATGTTGAAGAAGATAAGGACTATCGTAAGCCGCAAGACGATTAGTGTACTTATTGGAGTGTGAAGTAGTGGGCCGTTCAGCCATGGCAAAAACCTTGCAGGTGTGAATGGGTCGAGGGAAAACGCTCGAGAAAGGCCAAGAAAGCAACAGAAAGTGAGTAAAAGGACGATTTGCTCGGTAATGAATAGAATTTGTAATTACAAGAAAAA